ACAGGAACCAACACTAATACACACACACAGACGCACACGCACACACACACTGACACACACATGCACACAACCACGAATTCAATTCACAATTTCCCAGCTATTTGGTAACGAAAATCACCACGAAGCGAATGCAATCAATCATAAAACGATGAAAATGTGCGCAACGTCCAGCAGAGAGAAAATTGAAAATGCTGCAACAAGGATTGAAAGCTGAAGCTGAAGCTCAACGTGAACGTGAACGTGAACGTGAACAAGGACGACTATGTGAAGCTCCTGCTCCCAACTGGACATTGGAAACAAAAGCAAAACAAAAAAGAAGAGCAAAACCAAATATGGGCGAAAAAGAAAAGAAAAACTAGCAAGCAAAGTCAAAAGCATAACGGAAACAGCGACGCCTACACTGAGATGGCACGAGAAGGGAAATGGTGGGGGAGGGGGAGGGGGAGGGAAAAGGCACTCCACTTGGACACAGTTGACAATTTATCAACGAGCTGCCCGGCAAAGTGTCTGAGCTTGATTTGTCTCGGTGTGTGTGTGTGTGTGCTTTATGCGTTGGCTTCGATTTCGATTTTTGGTCAGCACATATCAAAGAAAACTGATGGATACGCCAGTGAGTGAGTGAGTGAAGCCACCATCGCCACCGCCACCGCCACCACTCACTCTAATACCACTTAAGCACATGCGAAAAAAGAAAAAAAAAAAAAATACACAACAACAGCAATAAAAAAAACAATGGCAAAGTGCAGCAATCAAATGACACGCAAAATCCATAAAAGAAAATGTTTTGACAACAAAGAAAAGTGTAAAGCGGAAATGGATCGACTTTGGAAAAAAAAACTTGCTGCTTTTAAGAATTCACTCTTTCCAAGAAAAATATTCAAAGACTGCTAACTTCCTATGAGAGAGATTTCTACATTTTAGTTTCCATAGCAGAATATGTTACAACAAAATTCTTTAAACAGCTTAATATTTTGAATTGTTTTTGAAACATAGCTAAGTAATTCGCAAGTCAAAAAAGTTTTAAAAAAAATTTCACTTATAATTGGCTACACACAAGACTTTTGCGCAAAACGGGTACAAACTATAGTGCACATTCAAATCCATAAATAAGACTGTGTTGATATACTAGGGCGGAAATGGAGCGACTTTGAAAAACCTTCTGACCTTAAAAAGTCACTTAATTTTAAGAAAAATATTCAATTAATTTATTTATTCATTTTTATAAGAGAGAGTTCTCCACTGAAAACATTTTAGAATAAAATGTTACAGCAAAAGTATAGAATAGCGAATTCTTAAAATAACTTTCTATTTTGAATTGTTTTCGAAACATAGAAATTGCAGTCAGGATTTTTTTTTCTCAAATCTTGGTCCTCTGTCAAGATACTCCATTTTTATTTTTATTTTTTAAGCAAAACAGCAAGCTGAAAGAAAGTGTTCTAGTTTCTTGCTCTTTAACGAAGTCTTTAACATATATTTTCTGCATTGAAAAATTATATTTCTAAAATGGAATTGTATTTGACTTATTTGTTTTTTTTTATTTCAAATTCTTTAAACTCGTGTACAAATATTTTTACATCTAATTCAAAAACGATCAAACTAATTCCAAAGGATGATTATCTTTTGTTTAAAAATGAAGTACAGTTTGCTGAAAATATGAAAATTGTGTTTGGAAACCTTTGCATCCAGCGCTGAGTTCCAAAATCATTTCAGTCTTATAGATGAAGAAATTGGAAATCTTTTAATTTTAGATCTCCTTACAGACCAGCCTTACAATTATTCATCGAATTACAGTTGATTGTATTGATTTGCTTTTTGTAAATAAGCCTTATGCTCAGCTATAAAATTGTAGAAGAACTAAGATAAATGATTGGATGAGTGGATGACTTTCGAAGCTTTATACATATGACAATGTTGTAGTGCTACTCTCTTCTTGTTTGGTTGGGTTTTTTCATTTTCAATATTATATACAAGTATTAGTGGCTGTGGAGGCATTTAATTAAAAGTCAGAGACGCCTTTCTGGGCTCACTTATCAAAACTGACTTAATTACAGTAAACCCGAAAAACCAAAAAAAAAAAAACAACAACAACAAAATATACAACAAAAACTGCATCTGATACGATGTGCGTTGATGCCTAATGAACAGTTTTATGCATTTGAAGTCAACTCGAAGCGCTGTGATGGACCTTTTTAAGTCGCATTTGGGCAGTTTGTTGTAATCTTAAGCTGAAATTTACATACTTGGCCATAGTTTGGGGGCACCTGAGTGAAATTCCGAGCGCTGTTCGCTCATAAATCAAGTTGCGTTGCAGCGCCTCTGTCTCTCTGTCCCTCTATCTCTGTTTCTGTCTCTGTCTCTCTATTTGTATCTTTGTGCGCTGGTGTTTGTGTCATTAAAATTAATTATCTAGCATTTTTAACACATAAACTTCGCGTGCGCTAAATGCAAGAAGGCTTGGCGCACGCCTCGGCTTCTGAGGCCGCTCGCTCGCTCGCTCGCTTGTCTTGCCTCGCAGTGCTGGGCCGTGCTTTGCATTTTCTAAATATTTGCTTAACTTTTGTTGACGATTCTATATGGCTATATGGCCGCTGCTGACAACGCAGACTAGCTGACTGCCTGACTGACTGACTGGACTGACTGACTGTTCAAATATTTGCGCTGACATAACTTTGTCTGTGGCTGGCGCGCGCCAAGCGGACGTCGAGAATCGTCATTCGGCAGAAGAGCGGCAGCCGGTAGCAGTCGCTGTGTCTACCAGTTGACACGCCAGCAGCAGTGCACAGTGGGGCAGATGCGATTTTTTACAGAACATAGATTAATTGTTACAAGTTTTCGTTATCAGAAAATTTTCAAATCTAACGATAAATGTCTCGATAATATGTCTTGATATGTCTATTGAGATATTTTAAGAACTTTTAAGCATAAATATAAATACTATATAATATTAAATATATAGCTGTATTTTTTTTCAAGCTAAATATTAAAATTCATTTTATTTTAACTTTACTTCAAATTGCTTAAAAGATTGATAGCTTTTGTCTTTTTCTAAAAGGCTTTCCCTTGAATGTGGAATGGAATATAGTCATAATTTCATACCTAAAATCGAAAAAATTGAATGAGAATGGTCTTTTAAAAATGCCGATGCAAATATTATAGATGATTGTCAAGTGGACAGACAGACAGTTTCCAATGCTTACTTAATTCCGATTCAACACAAATTGAACTAATTTTGTACTATTCTTGAATAACTTATATGTGGGGAATGGTCTGGCAACGAGCAGTTCCAATTAAAAGAAGATGGGAAAGGAGTCGTGTATAGAGAGCTGAGGCGTATGGAAATCGTAAAAAAAAGCCATATCAAGACGAACAAGGAGAGCGCAAAAGAAGCACTTAAACATAGTCTGAAAAAATTTTTTAATTCCTCAAATAAACCAGCTGAGCTGGCCAAATCTCAGTCACAGCCGTGTTCGAAATAATAGGAACAACAAAAGTGAAAACTAAATTCAATCTTTAGCATTATTAAAATACATTTTTTATAATTTATCCTTTTATTGGCTAAGCAGCACACTTATTGAGCTTTTTATAAATGGAGGAATGCCCTTATTTAGTGGTTTTGGCAACATTATTGGGATAAGTTGAAAATAAATAAATAGAGACAAATAATTGAAACAACAAAAGTGAAAACTAAATTCAATCTATAACATTATTAAAATACTGTTTTATCATTTCTCCTTTTATTGGCTAAACAGCACACTTATTGAGCTTTTTATAAATGGAGTAATGCCCTTATTTAGTGGTTTTGGCAATATTGTTGAGATAACTTAGATCCTCATATTTAATCCACTATTATTTTTGATTATTTCGAGACATTTGGAGCTATAAGAGTCCCAAGTAATTTTTGCTGCTGTTTTAAAGCTGTTCTATTAGTCTAAGAAAAATAAATTTGTGGAATCGGAATCACTGCTTCGCTTTCTATGTGGTGTATTTCGGATCATTATTTTGCTACATCTTCCCCATACTTTATTTCCGAATATACAACTATTTTGAGACACTGTGCGTCAGAGACAGTGATGGTGATGGTGACGTCGACTTGCATTCGGCACATTGTGTGAAAGATAATTATAACATGTGCAGCACATGTATGTATGTATGTATGTAGTATGTACATATGTATGTACTATATGGAGGACTGTGTGCACCAGCGGGACAGACGCTTCAAGTTTTTGTCTAGCCGCAAGCTCTAGCCGTGGCCTTTGCATTCGACAGCTGCTGAAGATGCCAACGTAACAGCAACTGTCAATAGCAAAATTGTTTGCCAAAAGCATGGGAGAAACAAAGAAAGCAAAAGCAAAAAACAAAAAACAAAAAAGAAATAAAGAGACACAAGAAGAAAAAGAGGGAGACGGAAACGGAGAAGGGAAAAATACTAGAATAAGAAAAGCTGAGCAAATACTTAGTAGTAGTATGCTCGGTGTTGGTGCCAGTTGGTTAAAGGCAGTGTCTAAGTCGGAGCTGGGCAAATAAATCGGCGCATAAATTATACAATTTAAGCCACGGCAGGCAAAGATAAATGGCTGGTGACTGCCTGTCTCTTTGCCTTCTGTGTTGCTGTTGTTGTCTTTTGAGAAGCGAGAGCTTTTTGAGAGATTTATGCCATTTATTTCTATTTATCGGCATTGCCATTTAAATTGTGTCGAACATGGAACATAATTTGCATTGGGGCGTTAAATGGCCACCGATAACAGCCATGACAAATGTGCCTCTAATGCTCTCTTTCCGAAACAAATCTCGGGTGATTTTTCAACCAAAAAACCCAACAGAAGAAGCGTGGGGGCGCTCGTGGGAAATCAAAAGCAAACACTGACAGTTACACGGACAGGAACAGGGGACAATTGAAAGCGCGAAAATTGACAATTGACAAGTCTTTTGTGTAAAACAATATCACTATATCTCCCTCTCTCTCTCTCTCTCTGCCTATCTCTCTCTCCCTCTCCACACAGAGTGCAACTGCAACGACCACGCCCGTCAATGTCGCTTCAACATGGAAGTCTTTCGGCGGTCGCAGGACGTCTCTGGTGGCGTCTGTCAGAACTGTCGACACTCGACCACCGGACGCAACTGCCAGCAATGCAAGGAGGGCTTCTATCGGGATCCCAGCAAGCCGCTAAATCATCGCAAGGTCTGCAAAGGTAAGTGCCCAACTATTGCCAACTATTGCTCATGCCTACATAGTCCTTTAAGCCCAAAAAATATATGATGCATACATTTGTACAACGACGTGGCTCGAATCATGATCTAATTGGAAAACTATTCGATTTATTTACTTTTTTAGCAAATAATTCTACCGAATAGGTAGTTGAAGTGTTTGTCAAAAGCCAAAGGTTAAGACTTCGCTATTAAATACTTTTATGATAAGCTATAGCCATTAGAGATTTTCGGATTCATTGAAGCCCATTACTGAGGGTATTTAAGTTATTATAATGCATAGATTTGTACAACGACTTGGCTCGAATGATCTAATTGGAAAACTATTAGCAATATATTTAATACTTATAGCTTCGATTTATTTATTAATTTTTAGCAAATAAGTCTAAGCCAAACGTTAAGACTTCGCTATTAAATATTTGATATGATAAGCTATATCCATTAGAGGTTTTGTGATTCATTAAAGCCCATTTCTGATTGTAAATGATTATATTTCTTAGAAAAAAATGTAAGCCAAACGAAAGCCTTGGTTCGAATACAATATAACATGATGGCTGAGTACTTGGATAACTATTAGTAATACATCTAATATAACTTCGATTTGGATATTATTTTTAAAATAAATGCAAGCAAATTAATCCACAAAATAAATAGTTGAAGAGTTTGTGAACAGAAAGAGGTTAAGAGGAGCCATAAGAGATTTTTTGATTCATTAAAGCCCATTACTCTTTGCATTCAAATAGTTATATTTAATAGAGAGAAAAAAGAGTAAGCCAAACGGAATTATTGCGACATGTATAGATTTGTACAACTTCTTGGTTTAAATATATTTGATCATATTGGCAGAATACTTATACATATTATATAACTTCGATATGGATATTACTTCGTTAATAAAAAAAAGCAAATGATTTCACCGAATATACATATTTGTCTGATTAGCTATAACCATAATTAAAGTATGGAAATCCATGTCAGCTTATAATTGCCATCAGTTTATTGTTTTTTTAAATAATATTTTACATGTTTGCGGACTAGTTACAATATTTCTGCGTAGAACTTTTTATAGTCTTCTATATATTTGTTTAGTGCATTTTTGGCATTACAAACAATATTTGTGGCCCGCACATTTCAGTTCGTACTCGTATGTATGAAGTTGTTGTCGATTAAGTGCCTTGGTCAACACATTTTGAGCATTTCAAGCGCCACTTGAAGCATATCCGAGAAAACATACAAAAGTAAACACATAAATGATGATCATAACTCAACCCGATGGCTACAACGCAATTGTTACAACACGGCGGCAAACAGAAATTGAAATTCCTGGGGTGTACGCAAAATGAATGCCCAATTTACAATAATTAGCCACAAGGCGGTAGCAGCGGCGGCTTCCAAAATTTATGTGTAACGAAAAATTAACACAAAAAAAAAAAAAAAAAGAGTATCAAGCTGTGTGCACCACGACTATGTAAATTAGTTAAGCAGTCCAGCATTTATCCATCTGTCCAGCTGTCCATCTGTCCGACCTTGCCACTCAACAGCAAAAATATTTTGTGTAATTTATGACACGATAAATTCCAAAAGCATTTGCCAATCCGCCGACTAACCAGCCAACCATTGAACCGCCGAACCACCGAACCAACCAACCAACCAACCGACTCTTTAGATTCTTTTTTTTTTGTATTTGGTTTTTCTGTATCGGCCACGTTAGCTGTGCGTGGCGTGCTGGCCGCTAATTTATGAGCGTGCTCCATATAATCAACTCAACCAAATACGCTTGCTAATTTGGGGCGCACTCTCTCACCCGCACACACACACACACACTCCAGGTAGGTGTATGCTAGTGGGTGTTGCACACAGACACATGTTGGGCTTTTTTTGGGCTTTCAAAACTAACGTCAAATTTGTTGTCGGCTAATTGCAAATCAAAGCATAAATAAACAAGTGCCGAAACAAGGCAAGGCAAACAAAATGCAAACAAACAATAGCGGCTCACAACAACACTCACCCCCTAGCACAATCATTTCTTGCATTACACACAAACATACTTACAAGTATTATACATAGCACATATGCATATACTTGTACATATGTACCCATTATTTATGTACTTTGTGTTCTACACTAGTCCGCAAAGTGATTCTAAAGATCACACCCTGCACCCTAAAGAGCTCCAGAAAATGCGAGCAATTTAGGCAAATTTTGTCTTGCAGGATATCTACGATAGAGAAGGGAATATAATAGGGCACTAGGCCAACAACCTGCCTTCCAACAACTCAGATGAAAAGTTTTTGTAATACTGTTAAGGTTTGTGGCTCATTCCATTCCAAAAGATTATTCCACGAGCTTACAAAGATTCATGAACATATCCCGATCCCTGTGCTTAGATTCAGCCGAGCAGCGAGAGAAAGAGAGACAAAGGAAGATATAGCTTAAAAAAATTAGTAATAATTGATAAACAACAAAAGCCGGAAATAACAAAATCTGTACTCATTATTCAAAAGTTCAGTGCAGAAAAGAATTCATTTTGTTAACAAATTCTTTCATTTATAAGAAACGAAAAAAAAGTTTATGTATTGAAATACTTAAGAAAGCAGACGTACGAGTAGCAAGGAATATTTTTTTGAATGCAAAGCACATCTATTAAGGAAGTTTTTTTTATTTTTTTTTATTTATTTATTTTTTTTTTTTTGAAAAAACTTGAATTGATGCCATTAGTAGAGGGAATTGATCAATCCGATTTACAATTGTAAACATAATATGGAAGGTTTCCAACAACTGCAACTATCGCTTGAAGGCTGATAAATGCGGCAGATATTTTAATTGGATTAATAAAGGTATTAAATATTAATAAAGGACAGCACAATCAGCCTGAAAAATTTGATGACTTTAAACTTAAGCTGCAGGCAGACATGCAAATATTTGAAAAGTTTATTCCAAATAAGTTATTGTGGAAGAGAACAATATTTAGAAATAACTTTTTTCTGGTAGCAAAAAAATTATTCATTGGCTCTTTCTTCCTCTTCCATTAACCTATTTATATCCAAAGTTTATTCTCGTTTCATTGAACACTTAAGAGTAATAGAAATATGCATTTCAGTGAACTCTAAAATCTACAAATTATAGCAAAAATTAAAGTAATTTAAACAAAATTTACAGCTAAAATCACGGAAAGCTAAACAATAATAGAATCAGCAATCACTGATCAATCACTGAAGTGATTTGACGATTGAGTTCATAAATCAAAACAACATTTTATTTCCAAGTAGTTTTGCAAATTCAACTAACTTTGCTCCCCTGTAGGTAATATATATTTTAAAACTTAATCGAATACATAAAGATGTTAAAATAAAAAAAAAATTACGCATCCGCGATGTGTGGCAAACGACAATCAAAATGTTGCTGAGAGGTATTAAACTTTTAACGGCTGTCAGGCAAAAACAAAACTTTTTGCTCTGACTAAGCCTCATAATTCTCATACAAGACGGGGTGCAGCGCATCCCGCACCACCCGAGCCGCCCGAGCCACCCAGCTTGGCACCACCTACCAGCGGAACGCCTTTGAAATATTTGCCGCTTGTGCGGCTGAACAAATCAAAATCTTATCGATTTTTAATTAATTATGCGACAAGGCAAATACACACACACACACACACACACACGCACACACATACACATACAGGTAGTCATAAAGTTTAACAAAACCACATCGTAAATATAAAATAAGATGGCACACACACACTTATGTATGTATTTACAAAAACACCCAAAAGGCGCCGCCGTGTCGGTTTTAAGTTTAATCGCTGCGCTTTAAAAAACATTTTTGTTATTTATTTTTGTTTTGTTTCAACTGTTCTTTTTTTTGTTCTTTTTGAGGCGACGTCCAATTTTTGTTTTATTTGCAAAATTTATGCGTTTTAATTTTGACGCGCGTGCAATTTGTTTAAAATTTGCGTTTCGTTTTTGTGGCTTTTGTGATTGTTGTTCTTCTTGTTGTTGTTGCTGTTCCTGCACGTCATGCCAAAGTGTTGTACATATGTATATATATGTGTGTGCGTGTGTGTGTGTGTTTGTTTGTAGCTTGTCATGTGCAGCCTCAGCTGCCGCCATCTCGTTGACTTATTCGCAAAATGTTTTACGTCATGTCATTGCCATTTGGCTGTGGCTTTCAATTAGTCAACTGCTTAATGTAACATTTGGGCCCATAAAATGCTCACCATACACCATCCACGATCCCATGCCACCCCCTTCCACCCACCCCGTTCCACCCACCGACACAAGGACAACTGTGGTATCTGCTCGCAGGGGCCAAGTTTTGAGGGCAGCTTGATAGCCGAGCCGAGCCGAGTCGGGCCGGGCCGGCAAAGGCATTGCATCATCGAGATTTTTGGGGAAAAGATGCGGAACTTCTGCAGAAATGTTGAAACAAGGAAATGCGTCATTTGTTTAGGGGTTATCGTGCACTTGAGAGCTACAGATGCAGGCAAAAAAGTATAATTTATGAATAGGTATATAAATACATACGAGTATACATACATATGTATGCATATGTTCGTATATTTTAGAACGATAAATAAATCACTTGAGAATCATTTGAGACACATGTAGTACGAATGTCACTTAAATGATTTATGGCCGTTTCTTAAAATTCTTCAATTCACCATAGGATGCAAATTATTCAATTATAAGTAGAGCAGCAGCTACATTTTTAACATCAGCTACATATGTGCTTGAGCAATCCATTGTAATCCATTTATACAAACTACGTACACCTATAACCGTTGCTCTTTATTGAACAAATGATTTATTAATAAGTGCATTTATTATATGAAATTTCAAGATAAAGCTATGAAGAATTCAGCTCGCAAGTGAGAATGTGTATAGAAAAAACACACTGAGCCGTGATAATGAAACTTAACTTTAGTTGGAAAGTAAAATGTGTTTGATTTACAAATATTTGTTTATTTAAAACAAGGTTAGACACC